TCTCTCTGTTCTCTGCCTGTCTCTCTGTTCTCTGCCTGTCTCTCTGTTCTCTGCCTATCTCTCTGTTCTCTGCCTATCTCTCTGTTCTCCGCCTGTCTCTCCGCTCTCCGCCTGTCTCTTTGCCTGTCTCTCTGTTCTCCGCCTGTCTCTCTGTTCTCCGCCTGTCTCTCTGTTCTCTGCCTGTCTCTCTGTTCTCCGCCTGTCTCTTCGCCTGTCTCTCTGTTCTCTGCCTGTCTCTCTGTTCTCTGCCTGTCTCTCTGTTCTCCGCCTGTCTCCCTGTTCTCCGCCTGTCTCTCTGTTCTCCGCCTGTCTCTCTGTTCTCCGCCTGTCTCCGACCAGCCAGTGGAATCCCTCGCCCCTGCCACCAGGTTTACATTCGGGCCTTGAAGCTGTTTGATGAGAAGAACAACATGGGAATGTAAAAAGTCAATTCATTAAGAACCCATTTTTAACCCACAGTGGAGCTTCCTGCAGGTCTGATTGGGATGTTTTGTTGATCCAGGTTCTCAGAGGAGGAGGTGAACAATCTCATTAGGTTCCATAATCTCCACGGGAACAACTGGAAGCTGATTGCAGAGCTGATGGACCGCAGCATCCATTCGCTGCAGAAACGCTTCGACACAATCGGTAGGAGAGGAGCTCTGTAAGTCTGGTGGCAGTCCGGAACGGTTCATGTGACCCTGGTTTATGTCCAGGTGGCAGTCATGGTGCCTGGAGTGCTGATGAAGAGAAGCGGCTGAAGCGGGCCGTCCAGCAGTACCTGGAGACCCAGAGTAACACCGATGGTTCCGGTGTGACCCGAGACCAGCTTTACAAACAACTTCCATGGAGAGAAATCAGCAAGAAGGTCCAGACTCGGTCCTGGGTTCAGTGTCGCCACAAATGGTCAGTTTCTCTATGAGCAAGTTCTGGTTTGGGTCGTGGTTCTGTCCTTCGTGCAGGTAAAGTTGGGCCAGTGATCCGATCTGATTGTTTGCACAGCTGAAGCCTGAGTCTTCAGTTCCTGGGAAAGGATAGTTTAGTACTCTTACGTACGTTCTTTTTTTAATTTCTTGTTTCTCTGTTTAATCTACCGTAACCTTTGTTAGGCCAGTAGGGGATGATAATATCCACCCTAGTATTGACCACCAAAGGAGAGGTGGACCAGTCTGAGCAGTCCCAGGCCAGTTAGACTACATAAATAGTGGTAACTCTAGTCATCATGGACCTAGTTACCCCAGCTGCTCAGAACCCTCACCCCCCTGGGGGTAAGACCACTGAGCACCGAGTAGAAC